TTTTATAAGAGTTATGGCTTTACAAGCATTATACATATTATTATTTATATTGTTAAAATAAATGCTCAAATAAAGGTGAAATATCTTGACAAACCTCAAGCATTTCCTCGAGCCTCTAAAAATCTAAAACCAACACAAAAATACAAGGTCACCTCACCATATCCCTTTTTTAGTTTCAATCTAGTTTGCATGAAAAACCAAAATCACCATTCCCCAAACCACCATATGAATTGCAAGAAAAATCAAAAGAAAAATATTTCATTTTTACATCGAAATAATTTCTGCCTTCAAAACATAAGATAGTTAAATTTTCAGAAAAATCATCCAAAGCAAAGGACTCCTCGTAAAATCTAAGAAAAAAAGAGATTAGAAAAACCATGCTACAAACTATATTTATCCAAGCTACTAACAAGCATAATTAGAGGGTACAATCAAGCCAAGGGGGATTAAGATGATTTAAAAGGTAGTTGTTCCTTTTTGAATGGTTAGTAAAACAAAAACTTTTTACAGCAAGCATAAGAAGGTAATAACCATTGTAAAAAACCTAAGTTGTGTAACTTATAGACATTTAAACAGGTGATTGCATAGGAAACTCACGTGGGTTAGTTGATAAAAAGACCATGAAAGGCCAAATCATAAATAACAACCCCTACAACTAAAAAGATGAATTGAAAAGGAGGAGGGACTATATTCTAAAAAGGTAAAATGCATGTATGCTATCTAACCTTAAAATACTAGCATTTGTGCAATGTTTTGCAAACATTTTATGAGTAAAAACCCTTAGTAGAGTCCAACAATGCTCCAATAAACCCAAGTCATTAAAGATTTGACAATGTTTATTTTGACATAATCTTACATCAAATGATCTAACCCTATAATTAAGGAACATCAAGAATTTGATTATTTAAAAAAAAATCCTAAAGTAGAATTTAACATGTATTGAGAACCATATTTTTTTCAAAATGTTATCATTAAGTTATTGGATTTAAAATGGATTTCAAACCATCACTAGAAATGCTAAGAAATTGATTCGAAGTCGCTAGATTTCTACTAGTGCTAGAAAAATGATCTCATGTTGGTGGCTTTTAAATCATTACTAAATGTACCTGGATTTCAAGCTAATATCAGAAGATTAATCATGATTTGGTGGATTTCAAACCATTACCAGAAGTGCTAAGAGTTAGACCCTAAATCATTTGATCTCAAACTTATGCTACAATCTTGATTCTGAGTTGATGGATTTCAAACATCACTAAATGTACTAAGAGGTAAGTCCCAAGTTGGTGAAGTTCAAACCATCACTAAAAGTTAAAATGATATCTAATATATCATCTTGTGGTAGAATTTAACCTATACTAAAAAAAATCACATATAGAGATTTCAACTAGCATGACAATTAGGTAAGTTATTCCTAAATTATAAGGCAAGTCACCTTTCTAAATGGCCAAAATCTCAAATCCCTGACAAAGTCTTTTAGACTTTGGAAATCTTTCAAAACCTTTTCACAAACACTATCTTTTTTACAAACTTACTATATAAGAATTGTAAAGAATAAGTAACCGTTATAAATTGTTTTTACCTCCAATTTTATTTTTTAAAATACAAAAAAAAAGCATTGTAAAGAATAAGTAACCATTATAAACTATTTTTACCTCCAATTTTATTTTTTCAAAATATAAAAAAAGAAGAAAGTCCAAAGATAAACTTTAAATTGGGTTAGACAACTTTTTTCGGGTTATATTAGGCATGATATATCTTTCAAAGGTATAATTCAAAAAAATGGTTGCAATTGAAAACAACTAAAGGACCGAGGGCTAAAACTATTAATTTGACATACTTATAGAGGTTTTATGACTCCAATTAAGGGTTTAATTAGACAAATTTTTAATTTTATAATCAATTTTGATTTTAATTAAAAGGATTTTTAAGTTTGACATGTTTTAAATTTAGCTTTTTCTTTTTGAATCTATAAAGGGCCTGTTTGGACTGTAGTAGTGGTTACGATTCAAAGTGTTTTTTTCTTAGAAATGTATAAAGATAATTTTTTATTTTTTAAATTATTTTCTAGATCAGTACATCAAAGTGATTTGAAAACATTAAAAAATAATTCTAGCAAAAAAAATAAAATTTAAAAGAATGCAGCTTCATTCGTATTCCTAAATGGACTTGAAGTCAACCTACGCTAACCATGATAGTTCTTTTTAAAGATCTATATATCACCAAAGTTTATTCTTGTCAAATTATTCTTTGTCTAAAATGTTTTCCATGCATACGAGCGAGACCCATACTTCAAACTCCATCTTGCATTATTAATTATTCTTAAACATTTAGATAATGTTATAACCTCGTGTTCTAGTTTTAAGCTTGAAATTATAAAAACATCAATAATTGTTAGTTATTTCTTTTTGGTTTCAATTAAAAAAAATCAAAATAGTTCACTTATACATCATTAGATCTTGGAAAAAGTCTGCGAGGCTTATTATGTTTATCTCATATTAAAAGCCAAGAATACAAAAAGTTATTCACTTGTTCTGGGAATCCAAAAGGTTATCTTCTTGTTGTAGGTTTACATACACAAGTTATAGCATCATTATATATAAACACTATTGAGGAGCTAGTTAAACTATAGTATTTGATAAAAGTAAATTAATAAAATAAAAAATAAAAAGTAAAAGTTGCAAAGATAATTGAAAATAAATAAATCTAGAGCTTTTGATTTTACCTTGTTAATTCCACACAATATTATTATTCCTTGTTATTAAACTCCAAATCTTAATGTTGATTATTAAAAAATCCCTTGATTATTCAGTATTTTCTCTTGAATAACATTAAAAATACCCTCACCTAATAATTCAACATATCTTTATGTAAATTAAATTAATTGAAGATTCATCAAATACTTTGGATTTTTCTTAATCTAAAATCACATTAATTATAATAAAATATCTCTATCTTTCATTTAACTAATAAATTTTAAACATAAAAGCCTTTAATAATAAATTATCTCTCGGTTTCATTATAATCCAATAGATTAAACAAAAAAGGCTAGAAAATTATAAATAATAAGATTAAGCACAAACACTTAACATGAAAAACTTAGAAATTAAATAACTTGGAATTTAAATTGTGTAATGCAAACTAGACTACATCAAATCCCTATAAAAATAAAATGTAGTTCATAATAAATATGAAAATAAATTATGTTCTTATTGGAATATATCAAAGGAAAATTAAGAAGAAAAATATTTTTTTTTGCTTCAAATCGATTAAAAAAGCATTTCACTACAATATCTGAGTTCTTCTGGTTCTCTTCTTCTTGTTTTTCCCTTCTTTTAATGGTAAAAAGAACCTTATTGTATTAGTTATGACCATGTTCCATTTCTCTATCTTCTCTTTTTTTTATCCAATATTTTTTTATTTTTTTTTATTTTTTTTTCAAAATTGATAGATTTTGACCTTTAACTTATAACTTAATTTTTATGCCAGATAGACATATTTTGAGATATTCATAAGAATTGAAAGTTATTGATATTTTTTTAGCTTTTTTATACTAAGATCGCTTAATTTAAATATCATAAAGAAAGTTATGCCTGATTTACCAAGATTTTATTTTAAAATTTCTAGCAAGAAAATTATCTTATTTTTACATTAAGAAAATTGTTTACATTAAGAAAATTCACTTTCCTCATTTCTTTCTTTTTCAAAACATTTACACAAGTCAATTAGATTCCTTCAAAATATATTTTATCATTTAATTAGTTTTTAAATGAGTTTTCTCAATAGCATGAACTTTAATTCAATTTGGGCTAGTGTTTAGTTAGAACTCAAGGATTGAATGTTGAATTTTCACTCAAAGCCCATGAATCCATGGATTTATTTATTTCTATATATAAAAATAAATAAATAAAAATTACATAAAATATAAATATTTAAGATAAACTAGCATAAAATTAAAGTGATAATATATAAAAATCATATAAAAAATCAAGTACATCTCAGGAGGTGATAAACTACTCATTTCTTAACAAAAAAAAAAGAAAGAAAGTGGACACTAAACCATCTAATCTTAAAAAAAAAAACCAGATGTGTGGGTTTTTGTTAAAGGCAGGGGTGTGGTTTATTTTAACTTCAAAGCCTATAAATTCATGGATTTATTTATTTTTATATATATAAATAAATAAATAAAAACTACATAAAATATAAATATTTAAGATAAACTAGCATAAAATTAAAAGTGATAATATATAAAAATCATATAAAAAATCAAGTACATCTTAAGAGGTGATAAGTTACTCGTTTCTTCAAAAAAAAAAAAAAAAGTGAATACTAAGTCATCCAATCTTAAAAGAGAAAAAAATCACGCGTGTGGTTTTTTGTTAAAGGCTTAGGAATATCGGGTCACAAAACCCACGTGATGACTTTTTTCTTTGTTTGTATTTTTTTATTTTATTATTTAAACATTTAATTCATTTTAAATTTATCTTTATAATTTTTTTTATTTTTTTAGATTATTATAATCTCAAATAAATATTATAATATTTGATTAATGCTTAATTTTATGAATGTTAATTTTTTGCTATAATATTATTAAATAAAAAATATATTTTTTTAAAAAATAAATGATTAAACCTAGTAGAATTTATTATCCTAATTATAAATTTAATAAGTTAAATTACGAAACTTGAATCAATGTAATATACTACCATCTTAATAGTTTTTAAAAATATTTCTTTGAATTTTTTAAAATAAAATTATATTTTTATCATCAAAATTATCTTTAACTTCTAAAAAAAAAATTAATTTTAAACCTAATCTAAAAAAAAAATTTAAATTAATAGATTTCAAAATTAACACTCTAAATCAAATTTAATAACTTTAGCAGGTAATTCTTTCTCACTTAGATATTTATTTTACCTTAAAGATTTTTTGATCCAACGCGCGTGACTAAATGCTGACGGTGAACTAGTGAAAATCAGGGAACATCAAAGAGCACGAAATACGAAATACAGTCTCATTGTATTTCATAAGCTCGCAAACAAATAGGAAATCAAACTCCCATATAACCCTTCCGTTATTTCAACTGAACAAAACCCTATTAAAATTCTCTCCCTCCCTCCGCTTGTCAAGTAGCAAGTAAAACCCTAAAAGGCAAAAAGAACAGGAAAAAAATGGGCCGTAGAAAGAATAGTCAGACCTCAACGAGCCTGAACAACACTCAGCACCAGGCCACCAAAGTCTGCTTCGACGACGACGACGAAGAAGAGAACATCAATCTCGATGACTCTATTGTAGCCACTGAAAAAGCCATTGCTATGGATGACGTAACTATGTCCGACCCCAACGCCCCCTTTGTCGACGGCGGCGATGATGATAAAACCAGCGCCGATTATTACTTCGATTCATACTCTCACTTTGGTAATACTACTCTCCTTGATTCGCTTTACTTTATTTATTTAAGTCATCTTTTTTTTTTCCTTTGGTAATAGTGTACTAGGTTCAGTTGACTTGAACAGAAGTTTTAGACTCCTAATGAATGGTACTCTGCCATAGAAAGTTTTTTGTATTTGTCTTAACCTTTTTTTTTGGTGTTTTTGCAGGTATTCATGAAGTAAGTGTCTCGTAGCTGGATTCAATTCAGCTCTTTACTGGGTTTCGTAACTTGGTGTTTTTTTATATATTTATTTGTTGGGTTTAGTTTTGATTATATCTTGTTTGTGCATTATAAGTGATGATTCAGAAGCTTTTGTAACTCAATTAGTGCTGCCACATTTTTTTATTTTATTTACCTCACAAAACCCCCTTTTGAATCAGCACTTGTTATTATGTGATATACTTGATTTGTTTCCGAGTAATGCTCTGCATTTTATCAATTGATATTTTTTTTCTTTACCATTTTGTGTCCGTAGGTTTATTGTTTTGACCTTTTATATTCTATATTATTTAATCATTTTCAGCTGAGATCAAATTTTTCTTGTATGATTTTTTATATATCTTGAGATCTGGATTTCTAAAACAAATCCTGGAGTTGATTGTGTATCAGTGCTTAAACGTCGCCAACTGTTGATGTTGCCTTACCCATCCTTACACTGCAGGAAATGCTGAAGGATGCAGTGAGAACTAAAACATACCAAAACGTTATTTTTCAGAATAAATTTTTATTTAAGGATAAAGTAGTGCTTGATGTTGGTGCTGGGACTGGAATTTTGTCCTTGTTTTGTGCTAAAGCTGGGGCTGCCCATGTCTATGCGGTATGCCTTTCACCCCTTTCGCATCCTACACCCACCAAGTGGAGTTTATATATGCTAAAAATTGGTTTGCCAATGTTTCTATTTCCAGGTCGAGTGCTCTCATATCGCTAACATGGCCAAAGAGATTGTTGAGTCAAATGGATTTTCCAATGGTAATTCTATTCTCTTTGCATGTTCCAGTAATTTTTTTTTCTCTCTCTGTTGCCTCAAATGCCAAGTCTCACTTCGCACTGCTTACTCGTGTTTCAATGTCATAGTTATAACAGTTATGAAGGGAAAGATAGAAGATATTGAGCTACCGGTTGCTAAAGTGGACATAATTATTTCAGAGTGGATGGGATATTTTCTGTTGTTTGAGAACATGTTAAACTCAGTCCTGTATGCACGTGATAAATGGCTTGTAAGTTGCAATTACATTTCTCTTTGCAAATTTATAGCTTGTTCTTTGATAAATGTTGTACCTAGAGAGATAAATCAAACAGGCATAGCCGGCTAACCTGTCAAAGTCAAATCTATAAGTTTCAGAACCCTGGAGGCACATGAATGCCACAGTAATCTAAGAAAACCATCATATTAGATTTGACTTTGACGGGTTAGCCGGCTATGCCTGTTTGGTTTTTCTCTCTAGGTTCTTGATTGGGATTTCATACAAATTTGAAAAATTTATTTAATTCTGAGGGAACTGTTCATTGTCAACTGCAAGGAATTTCCTTCGGGATTGAAGGGTTTTGTTGATGCTATTTACATAAAATTTACAGATCAGGGAATATTTTTGGAATGAAAGTCTCTTGGATAAGAATAGAGCTTTCTTGGGATAATGGTGTTTGCTGGTATTATAACATTCACAGAAATTAAAGTCACTAAGCTCTTTGGCTTTAGGTCACCTGGATGCATGCACCTTTCGAAGGAAGGGGGAAAAATGCCAACCAACATTTAGGTCATTCATGAGTCTGGAACAACTATACTTGTTTAGTAATTGAAAGTTCTTCTGTTAGCTATTATTATGTTCCATGGGATCATCATTGGTGATGCTGAAAAACTTTGCTAAATCAATAATGTCAGCCTTTTTTATTCTATTCTTTGCTTGACTCCAGGTCAATGACGGAATTGTGCTGCCAGACAAAGCTTCTCTCTATTTGACAGCCATTGAGGATGCTGAATACAAAGAAGATAAGATTGAGTGTAAGTCTATTGTTTGGTGTCATATGTAGATGAGAATAATTTTCATGTGGATCCATCAAATGTGTGGAATTTGGCAGCACAGCCAGACTCCAGTAGTAGGTAGCTGTAGGGAATTTACTCACATCAGTTGCATGTGTGGTTTCATGTGTTATTTGAATTTGTTTTCCAACTCTAAATGCTTAGGGTGGTGGCATTTTAATAGTTCTTATATCTGTTTTGTTGCCTTGGCTTGCATGCTTGCTCCAGTTTGGAATAATGTCTATGGCTTTGATATGACCTGCATCAAGAAGCAGGCCATGGGGGAACCTCTTGTTGACACTGTTGATCAGAATCAAATTGTTACAAATTGCCAGCTGCTCAAGGTTGGATATGCTTGCATATGCATACAATACATTTGTGTGTGCGTTTGCATTTGGTCATCCACATTTCTCCATTTTGCTTTCTGTCACTGTCTTTACTTAGCTGATGTTTTTATTTTTTTTGCTTTTCATCATTTCAGACAATGGACATCTCTAAAATGGTTTCTGGGGATACTTCCTTCACAGTTCCTTTTAAGCTTGTAGCAGAGCGTGATGATTACATCCATGCATTCGTAGCCTACTTTGATGTATCATTTACAAAGTGTCACAAGTTGATGGGATTCTCTACAGGTCTAACTTTTTTACTGTGCACTCTTCAGTTATATTTTCCATATCTTCTAGTGTAAAGTTTTGTTTTAATACATACAGCGAATCAAGTGGGTTGAGGGAAGCCCTTTTCCTTTCCATGAGTTTGCTCAAGTCGTTACACTTTAAATTCCATGACTTGTTGATTTATGGGAATATTATATTTGTTAGACTAGAAGGTAACTAGCTCTAACAGTGAGGCAGGAGTACTCCTTCTCGTTGTCTGAGAGGGTGTTCTAAGCCAAATCATAAAATAAACATGAAATCAAAATCACAACCTGCATTTTATGCTCTCAGTGGCATATATGCATCAATTAAAAAAAAAAAAGTTTTCAGATGTTCCTATGTGAAGGGGAGGCCAGTTAGGGTACATTTTAACAGTCTAGTGAAATGCCTAGATAGCCATTCTGATGAATTTGGAAAATGATGCAGGACCAAGATCACGAGCTACACATTGGAAACAGACAGTCCTATACCTAGAAGATGTGCTAACCATTTGTCAAGGGGAGGCACTAATTGGGAGCATGACCGTCGCACCAAACAAGAAGAATCCTCGTGACATTGATATAACAATCAAATATTCATTGAATGGTCGACGCTGTGTGGCCTCAAGAACTCAACATTATAAAATGCGGTGAGTTGCAATGGCTCTTCAGATTGCAAGCGTCACCGGGCAGAGATTGATGATGCTCAAGCTACTTCCTTGTTAGGGGGATGTCTTCCTAAACAAGCATGTATTTCAGTTATTTTTCCAAGAATGAGAGTAATTTGATTGGTTTACATAAAATGTCACTTGTTTGAAATAGCAGGGGATTTTTCAAATTTTGATTTCCAAAATCTTGACAACCGTAGCTGTAATATTAACGTGATGATCCTCATTCAGCTTGGGCTTTTATCCCTTCGCTTTATTTATTTCCCTCAAAGCCATGCAAACAATATCCTTGCATTGCCTCTGCTTTTTTTTTTTTTTTTTTTTTTTTTTTTTTTTTTTTTTTTTTATCTTGTTTAAGTGCCACCCATGTTCTATTTAAGAATCTAATCACTGATATGATCCAGTTCATGAATCTGTACCTTCATATGATCATTCTGTTGACTGAATTCCAGCTTTGTGAGTACAGAATGTGAATCCTCGAACTTTCCACACCCATCCTCATCATCAGCTTCTTCATCACCGAACACTTCAATACATTTTCATGCCTGGAGCTCCAGGTATACCCTGAAGCAAAGGTAAACAAGTTATAGAACCAAGTCAACATAAAATCACATACATGCAGAGTTTTAAGCAAGTAGTAGATCTCAAATTCTTCTCCATTTCAGCCTCTTTAGAAGGTTTAGGCACAAATGTTTCCGCAGGTATCCTGTTCTGAAATCCAAGAGAAGAGAGTTTAACTACAATTAAACTTGAGTCTTCTGTTCTGAAATGGATTGTGCAAAACAAAGTAGGACATAAGCACGATGGAATAAAAAAGAGTAAAAAAACAGCCAAAAGAAATGCCAAATGTGAAGCATGGTGAGGATGCGGTAGGGAGATTCTCTTTGTTCCTCCTTTTATTCCTAAAAACACCAGTAAGTATAAAATTACAGGTTCTGGAACTTCGGAGTTTCAAATCCATTTATGCTTCACTGGTTTTCAGATATAATTTGGTTTGAATCTTGAGAACACGATAAATAAGTGGCAATATTTTTCTTTTCTTTTTTTTTACACTTCACCATTTTCCTCTGATGTGCTCTCATGTTATTGAAATTCATAGATGCCGATACTTGCTAATCCATTCCCAGATTTTAGAGCTTGAGCTTCAATCTGGGGAAAGCCATAGATACTTGACAAGCTATATGCTCTGGAAACTGTCCTATATAATGAGAGAGCGAGAGCGCAAGGCTTCATTCAAATAAAGCTGGACGTGTAACAAGCAAAGCCTTTTCAAATGCTTTCTAAGAATCACGAAAGATGGCTCAAGAAAATTTCATGTCAGATAAGTTTTCTATTAACTAGTATCTAATTACAAGATGGCTCGCGAAAGATGGATTAAGAAAATTTCTAAGAATCGGATGGTTGCAAGTAATACAATTTTGTTTATACAAATATATTTATTATTTATAAAGACATTCTTATCTTTAATAATCATATATATTAAATATAAAATTTTTAAAACAAAAATGTTATATCAAACATAAAATTTGTCAGGGATGCTTTTGTTGTTGCTTCTTATCATGCATTTGCCATTGCTCAAAGTGTCGAGAAAATCACGAATGATCCTGACTTGCAACAAGTGTTCGCTCCGAATGCCATGTTGTTAAAAGCTGGTGATAAATGCTGTAATTTGGAGCTAGCCTAAAGCCTGGAGGCAGTTGCAGAACAAGGCCCACAAGCTTTTTATAATGGCACTGCTGATGAGAAGTTAGTGAAGATGTGAGAGAGGCTGGCGGGATTCTAACAATGGATGGTCTAAAGAATTATAAGGTGGATATAATGGATTCCTTAGCTGCAAACATTCTGGGCTACACTGTATACCACTGCCTTCAAGTGGAACGCTTGGATTGTCTCTGGTAGGTTATATTTTCCCGCTTGCCCATTTTTATCTGCGTCAATCAAGTATTTCCTGTCAAATCAAGTAATATTCCGGCCGTTTTGATGAATCGACCTCTGGCTCTGAAGGACTAAAAGTAGGACTAATCAACGAGCTGAATTCGTGATACTGATGTTGGTCTGACTAGATATTGATGAATATGAACAGGAATGACTACTTACTATAAAGCTTTTACTGGTATCAATGTCACTGTGTCGTGATTCTCAAGATCACAAGCTATAATTAGCAGGTGGAGTCGGCTTAGAGATCTCGGAACTGGCTACTGAAGCAGAACGGAATGCTGTGTCAATGACAACAACATTAAATTATGGTTTTCGAGCTGGAGTTCTCTCTCTTACTGGAAATGTGCTCAACGGCACCCACAGAGATAACCCCTGACATACTCCCTCCTGCTCCAGCTAATTCTATCGAAACTTACAAGAGACCTTTATCTTCCATGATACCTTTTATTGTCGCCAAGGTTTGGCTGGAAGAGCTGATGTCCAGCTTCTTGTTCAAACCCTCCAAAACCCCATCGACATAGAATGTGAAAATGCAAGAGATTCTGTAAATACCCTAACATTCCACGGGAGACCTGTTGCAGTGAGCGATCCGATAAAGGATGACATGCCTGCAGCAATTTGATCTGTCAGATTTTCTAATCGAAAAATCCATGGAAAGAAAAACCCATTGGTAGCTAGCCACGAAACGTTTGTTCTGTAAAAGATTAGGCGATTTGTTCCCAATTCTTGAAATAAAACTATATTTTCTTAGCAAATTACATGTTGCATGATGATACTCCAACTTTCAAAATCCACTTCAACTTGGAAGTCTCCAGATTAGAACAGGGATGAAGCAAGCAAGCACGCTAATGAGAGCAATAGGTGCAAGCTGCTGGAGGATCCATCTTTGCTCCAACATTAATATTTATCCCGGGGTTGGGGGGGTAATAGTGGTCATGATCGAGGCAAGAGAAACATATTGGTAAGGTTTTGAAAAATAAATTGTGCTGACAACAACAGAGTTTTATACAGGGAAAATGTCTCAGATCGAGCTTATTTTACAATGCACAGCAAGATAAACAAAAAATACTAACTCGTCACAAGTCCATGTGAGAACAATTGTGCCTAATCAATCATTTATGATGTTTTGTCCATCAGTTGTATTGGGCTCAGAATGTTAGACTTGCTTGTCTCAACAATGCAACCATTCATGACCATCTCTTCCAGCATGAAATGAGCCTTTTCTAGATGGAACATGATGTCTAGCTCACACTGGCGATAAGAGAAACAAATTAAAAACAAAAGTTAACTTCCATGCGAGGGTAATGAAGGAAAACCAAGAGACAACTTTGGCGACATTGAAGGCAGGACAAAGATTAGTTCATCCTACATTCTCAAAGGAGACGTGAAAAAAAAAAAAAAAACCCTCATCCTTAGCATTAGAGGTCTTACCACATTGCCAAAATGACGGTCCATGGTTTCAACTAAAAGATGTATGAATTCCAAAATAGCAAGCTCATTCTGCAATTGCCAGAAACAAAGAATATTAACTAAAATGAGAGTAAGGTGAAGACAGTAATCACTTAAAATAGCGAGCAGGCATCAGAAAACTCTAAGAGCTGCTCAGTTTGTAAATCCTCCCATCCATTTTCTCTAATATTGACATTGTTCTTGACCATCCATAGCCATGTCAAAGGATATCAAGAAGATAACTCATGTAACGGCATGGAATAGAAATGCTGCTGAATATTAGTGATTACCAGACTTGAGCAATTGAAGCATAAAACTAATAAGTACTGTTGGCTTGAAAGGCACAGAATAATAAATAATAAACAAACAAATAAAATTGAGTATTGTTATGGGTATTACTCACGCTTACACTAAAATCTTATAGAAAAGAAGCATTATATAGTTGAAAAGATGAAAACTTACTTCATCATTGTCAACTCCTACCAAGAAAAACAATGATGCGTAGCGTCGGTATACAATTTTGTAGTTGCGATGCTCTACAAAGGAACACTGTTATCAAGCAAAGGATGAAAGAAAACATGAGAGTGTGTTTCAAATGTTAATATAACTATAATCATATATAGTAACATTATTATTTGTTAGTTTTCATTAACAACAACAACACAACTCTCAGATCAGATGACGTTCATTAAAATTTCAAAGGAAACCCAAAGTTTTTTCCAAACAGAAAGTAACATGGATGGATGGATGGTACTTCCTCTAAACAAATATTAATCGACTTCATTCTTTCCAGTAATCATAATCATAAAAATGAAAGGAAAAAAAAAAAACCTGTTGGTCGTTGCGAGCAAGGCATTTGCGAACAATTTCTCCTTCAAGGGCACGGCGTTCTTCGAGTGTGAGCCATTCATAGTATTGGGCTAAACGAGTTTGTCCTTGCTTGTTCACCATTAATATGAATCTTATCCCCATTTTCTTCTTTAAACCAAAATTGAACCAAACCAATTAATAACAGTTGAATTCAGAAACAATCCCATTTTCTTATTTAAACCAAAATTGAACCGAACCAAACCAATTAATAGCAGTTGAATTCAGACACAATCATATCGAATTTTTTTATCAAAAAAATTTAAACAACAATAACAGGATCTTTTAGATCCAAGATGAAGGAGAGAAAGAGGTACCTGGTGGTGGAGGTGACGACGACAATAGTGATTTCTAGAGAGAGAGAGCGCTGCAACAAATAAGGGGAGGAAGAGGGACGGGGACTGGGGTTAAAAAAATAAAAATTAATGATTCCGGTCTTGTGATAAATATAGTTTCTCAATTTGTTAAAAATTAATGTTTTTAACCAATTGTATCCCTAATTATTAAGTAATGCTCTAAAAAATACGGGGAAAACATTATAACTTTTCTATGTCTATACTTATATCTTATAATTATAATTATAATAAATAACTTATATATACGCCTATATTTATATATTATAATTATACTTATAATAATATAATAATAATAATGCATACTAAAATATTCTGAATTGTTTTTTTTTTGTTTTTTTTTATTTTTTTGCTTTTCTCTTTATATTTTTTTCTTTTAATAATTTTTTTAATTTAGTTTGTTAACGTTAAATTTTTTTATTTAGTTATTAAATTTCCATGACATGGTTCCTGAGTTTGACGTGTTAACCTAGATTTTTTTTGTTTTTCATTAATTTTTTGTTTAATTTAGTTTGTTAATGTTAAATTTCTTTCTATTTAATTATCATACTTTCATGACACGTATCTCGAGTTTGATGGATTAACCTGATTTGACAGTTTAACCCAAATTCGAGTTTGATGGATTAACCTGGTTTGACAGTTTAACCCAATTAACCCGTCAATTTTTTTTTTCTATTTAGTTATTAAAATTTCATGATACGAATCTCAGGTTTGACAAATTAACCTCGTTTGAAGGGTTAGCCCAGTTAATTTAGATTTTTTTCATTAATTTTTTTCTTCAGATTGGAGTTAATTTAGATTTTTTTCATTAATTTTGTTCTTCAGATTGGTTTTTTTCTTTGTTTTTTTCCTTTTCATTAATCTATTTAATTATCATACTTTTATGACACAACCTTACAGCTATATCCACATCTAAGACTATTGGGTCTGGTGTTGCAGCTAAACTCACTTAAATTTAGGTCATGCAAATTTAATATTATTATTAATATTACTTTTGATTCAGGCGTTGCAGTCATATCCAAAACTCTTTGACATAGTTTTGAAACTCGAATTGCCCCAATTGGTCAATCTAGGACTTGGCTGACCCGGGTTTGGAATCAATCCAGGTCTAAGTAAAAATGCACTGGAGAGTTGGCCCGGCGAAACTTAGCCGACCTGGAACCTAGATGAGGTAAACCCGGCTGAAACCCAACCTTCTTTTTTTTTATACATACATAAATATGAAATGACATCATTTTGGCTTTTATAAAGCCAAAACAATGAAGATTAAGAGCAGAGACAGAGACAACCAAAATAAATAATTTCAACAAATACACTATTACCAAAATGAATAGTTTTACAAAAGGTTTTTTGTTTTTTTTTTGTTATACTTAATTTTAGTGGTGCTGAGGTTTTGCATTTTTTACCATTTTTAAAGAGTTGGTACTGAAAAATTCAGTCATGAAAACTCAAAAATAGTAGACATACTTTTTGAAAACAATGTTGAAATGTTGTTTGGTAAAAATTTAAAATTATTTTTTATTTAAAATTAAGTTTTCATGTTTTTTTTTATTTTTTTGACATAATAATATAGAAAATAAATTTTAAAAAATAAAAAATATATATTATTTTAATATATTTTAAAAACTAATAGCCTATTCCAGTAACAAATCCTTCTTTTGGGCTTTGTTTTAAAATTAGATGAAAAGAAGTTTAGGCCTTTCTTATTTTTATATTTTAAAAATATTTTAAAAAATTTGATATTTTTTATTTATTTAAATTAATATTTTTAGTATTTTAAAATTATTTTAATATACTGATATTAAAAATAAATTATATATATATATATATATATTATTTTAACATATTTTAAAAAGTAATGTTAAGTAAATATTCAATGGAATTTATTCTTTTTTAAAAACTGACGACCTATATTCTAGCCTGAAATATATAATTGAATTGTCAATGACATTGTAAAATTTTATATGAAATTATCTCGAATTAAGCATCTTTATTTTAGCAAATTGCTTATAGATGCATGCCGACTGCTTTGCATTTTGTATCTAATTCATGATAATAGGTATATATTATATTTTTTTTTAATTAATCCGGGTCAATTTATCTTATATGTGATCTGATTATTAGATCTAGTTAATTATTGGGTTGAGTTTTTAAACTATATTTTTGAATATAATTTTACAAAAAGACCTAATATTTTTTAATTTTGATTTTTTTATTTTATTTATACAAAAAAAATTAACCCGCGTGTGTAACTAATTTATATATTAAAACTCGTAGGATTTTCACTATACATTGATTACTATGCAAAATTTTATTTATTTTTAGTTTAGTTTTCAAAATTTATCTTTGGATGATCAAGTCCTATTTAATGAGCAATTAATTTCAATTTTTTTTTATAAAATGGTAATATTGGAAGAGGGGAGACCGAAATAAGAATCAAGACAAACATAGGTGACGTGCTATAAGTTTAAAAAACATTCACTTTGATCCTTCAACTTAAACAATCACTTGAATTATACAATTGTGGTCTCTTGAAATTGTTCTAATTTTATTTTGATACATATATTTATTTTTGTTTATTTTTTATCCTAGTTAAGAGAGGGGATGTCAAATTCCAGTAGTAGAAAGAAAAACTTGTCGTTTACATCGATTTAAGACACTATAATAAGGGATTTTTGTGTCAAAATTATTTTATTTGATGTGAAGAGTTCATATTAGGTGTTTTTATATCTTAAAAATTCATGAAAAAACAGATTTGAGTACAGTTTGATTTTTAGTTTAGGGTCGGGTTCAATTTTAGGGTGATTTTTTGGTTGTTTTGAGGTCATGAATGAGTTTTTCATGGTTTCTAGGAGGTTTTATAGATATTGTGGTTCAAAACAGGTTGCAAAATAAGTTTCGGGTAAAAAAAACATAGGCCTTGATTTTCTAGCCACCACAATGGCTGGAATATGGGCAAATTAGGTGGTATATTGTCTATCTTGCCAGGCGATGTATCATTTGTTGATGACATACCTTGGATTTGGCATAACTATTAGATCTAAGACCATTGAGTCTAGCATGACAACAAGACTTATTACCTTGGGTTTGACATTCCGTTAGCCCTAAAACACTTAGATTTGGCATGGCTGCTAGTCGCGCTTAGGATTAACATGACATCACATTCAAGTGCCTTGAACTCAGTATGATTACCATGAAAATATAACTTTAACAAATGAAATTGACAAGAAATAAAGTGATGTGACCGGTTAAAAAATAAAAATAAAATAAAAAAGAATAAAAGCTCCTCTCTTTTATCTTGTATTAATAGCCTCTTTTAAATAATAAAATATAACTTTGATTCTTTTGTTATAAGTTTAATTCTTGTAAAGGTTTTTTAGGTTTATCTTTGTTTTTTTTTGTTATAATTTATATAAATAAATTATGTTCTTGAAAATAAAAAATATTTATTTTCAGATGATATTTTTAGTATATGTGGCCTTATATATTATTTTTTTCTTCCTTTTATTTTATTCAATCAATTTTAGTGTTTTATTTTTCAAGATTAAATATCTTAATCTATGTCTATCTTTTAATTTTTCAAGTTTTGTTTTTAGATGTCATTAATGATTTTTTATTTATTTAATAGTGCACATAACTCTTAGTTTATTTGATTGCATATATGCATAAACCTTTTGGTTTGTTATATTTTTTGAACTATAAAAATGCATTAAAAAAACTTGCATATATAATGTTTTATGAAAAATAAAAATATTTGACCCACGACAAAGCACGCGTCATGTAGCCAATTTATCTATAAATCGTTGATTGGTATTTTTATAATAATATTTCACTACTATTATATTATTAAAAAAACAATAGAAATAGAAAAGACAAGTTAGAAAAAAAGCAAAAGATATAATTGTGTTTGGTTATGATATTGAAAGACAAAATAATTGTGTATGTATCTTATTTAGTTATGATAAACAAGACAAAATAAAATATAAAAAATATATTTTATTTTTAATATGTATTGCTGTCAAACTTATATATTTTAAAAAATAATTTAATATTTTTTTAGTTTATATTGAGTGTTGTAATTAGTAATATTATAATAATCTTAGTTATAAAACAAGAACTAACTTGACAAGTTGAATTGGGGCTTGAACTAATTCAAGTTTAAGAAGAAATAGAAGAATAATTGACTTAACCTAACCTTGTTATTAACTAACAAAGATGTAATTTTAGAATTTTACAGCTTCATGCAAAATGATAGATGTTTAAGGTTTTTTTTTTTTTAAAAAAAATATTTTCAATAACTAAGGAAGATTTAATTCTAAAATATCAATCCTTTTTTCTAGTGTGAATTTGGATATCTAAATAATATCAAAATTTATGATATTTGTATTAATTTTGATAAGTATTTCTTATCTGACTTTTGTAATATTATGAATTATTTTAGTACATTAGGTTTAGGAATGCATAAATTTATTTTAAAATGTTTCCCTATGAATTTGTCTAATGTATTGTATTTGTAATCCAAAATGTTTTCTTTTTACTGCTATAGTAATATTTCTACTAGTTATACACTTTTTTTTTTAAAAAAAAATTTTAGTTTTCAAAATACTTTTGGTGCTACTATAAATAAATTTGCTTCTTGTTTTACAACAATAAGCGAGCATTTAAGCTAGTTTTAATGGAAATAATTGTGAAGGGTATATTAAAAAATAGGTTAATTATAATAAGCCTCCCAAAGTTTGTTTATTGTTTTATTTGTCTTTATTCTTTCAAAAATTATATATATATCCTGAAATTTATAATTTCATAGCATTTTACATCCCTATATTAATACAGAAAAAAAACAATAAAAATTATTAAATTTTTTACCAAATAACCATTATATTTTGTTTAATAACTAAAAGTTTTTATATATTAAATATTATAACTTCTACATTAAATTAAAAAACCTAGCCATCACCTTGAACCTTTTCTTCTTGAATTATTATTATTTATAATTTATATTAATTTCTATACAGTTTGGCTCCAGTTTTATCAGATTATTTATTATTTCAACATTTTTATACTTGAAAGAATATATCAATTTTTTTTATTATGTCAAAACTCTTTCTAACAACACTGAAAATGTCAAAAATGAATCTCAATGATCCAATTTTTCTTCCCACTCTTTTTTTTCATCATTTCTTTTTCTTGTCATATCATTTTATCTTCTTAACCATCGCTTCTTGAATCTTATTTTTTTAACTAATGATTTTTCATAAAATTTTAAGTTGATTTTAATAAGGTTAATCATTTTAAAAAAGAGAAAACTCACTATACAACCATGACTATGTATAAAATTAATATTAGAAAACATGGTTGTATTTAACCACTATTTTTTTATAATGGTTTTGTACATAATTAATATTAAAAAATATAATTATTTTAAAATTATGGTATTTTTAAATACCTTTTAATTGATGTTATTCTTCCAAAATATTTACTCAGTTATATCATTTTCTGGAAAAAACAAAATCATAGTTTTAGAGTTGAAATAAATCTTTTTTAAAGAATCTTGTCTCACTGCTTTATATTCAATACTTTAACAAGTGAAGGAGCATCTACAAAGATTTATATAACAAAAACCCATCAATTCAAACTTAAAAGAAATTAAAAAAAATTCTAATTAATATGCTTTCTTCTTATTACACAAGAAAATTAACAAATCAAACCTAAAAATCAACATTAAATTGATTCATCTAAACCCTAAAACTAAAAAACTTCTATTTTGATTGATGGTTTACCATGCTTTATGCTTTCCCTACTAAAAAAAAAATATTTTTGATATATTATATAGAAGGATAATTTGATTATTTTATTTGAATTAAAAAACTACTTTGACATAATACATAAAGTGTCATTTCTATATGAATAAAGATATATTTATGCACTTTTAAGTACTAATCAATGAGCAATTAATTTCAAATTTTTATAAAATGATAATATTGGAAGAGGGGAGACCGAAATAAGAATTAAGACAAACATAGGTGATGTGCTATAAGTTTAAAAAACATTCACTTTGATCCTTCAACTTAAACAATTAC